CTCGCGTTTTGCTCCACGGACTACAGAAAAAAAGAGAGACTGCTCGTAGTCTGTAATCTTTATTACCTGTATTACATAGCCTGCGTCACACTGATTGAGTACGAGTATAGTTGGTGTAACTTTATAGTGGATAGTGGGTGTAACTATTTCGTGCAATGTTTTTTCTTTTTTTTTCTTTTTTTTTTTTCCAAAAATGCTGGTTTACATTTTATTGCCTTTTTTAGACCAAAACACATGCCAGTCATAATCGGCTTGGTGTCTTTCAGTCAAATTTCACATTCCAAGGTAATCTTTATGTCGGAGTATGTCTCCGCGCTTGTCGTATATGATTGGATGTTTTAGCTCAGTTTGCATTTATTTTTGCTACCTGCATCCTCTGCCAAGGTCTCCAAGTGTAGAATAGATTTGTCCTGAATGTTGTACTCACTCAGAAAGCGGCTTTCTTCGAGTTGTTCGCCGTCAAGCAAGAGACGTTGTCGGTTAGGTAGTATGCCTTCTTTGGCATAAATTTTGTCTTTCATCTCCCGGATTGTACTGCAACATCTCAGATCCAAAGTAATCCGTCTACCATTCGGCATATCCACGAAAACTTTGCTTATGACAACCAAGTGCAGTGTTGCCTTGTTCTGGATGTTGTAGTCGGCCAAGAGGCGGCCACCTTCCAATTCCTTGCCTGCAAAAACGAGATGTTGTTGATCTGATGGAAATCTTTCCTTGTCTTGAATTTTCGTCTTTACTTTCCCAATACTGTCACTTGATTCAGTTTCTAAAGTTATTGTTTTTCCAGTTGGCGTTTTTACGAAAATTTGCATATTGACATCAAGAGGTCTAAGAACCAAGTGCAGTGTTGATTCCTTTTGGATGCTGTAATCACCTAAAGCGTATTGATCTTCTAACTCCTTGCCGGCAAAAATGAGACTTTGTCGACGTGGTGGAATTCCTTCCTTGTGGTGAATTTTCTTCTTCAGATCCAAAATAGAATCACCTGGTTCACCTCTTAAAGTTATAGTTTTTCCAGTCAACGTTTCTACGAAAACTTGCATTCCATCACGTCTAAGAACCAAGTGCAGTGTTGATTCCTTTTGGATGTTGTAATCAGTTAAAGTGTGGTTATCTTTTAACTGTTTGAGGGCAAAAACGAGTCGTTGTCGATGTGGTGGAATTCGTTCCTTGCCTTGAATTTTCTCCTTCAAATCCAAAATAGAATCACTTGGTTTAACTTCTAAAGTTATTGTCTTATTTGTTTCTCCAGTCAGTGTTTTTACGAAAATTTGCATGACATCACCATCACCACTAAGAACTAAGTGCAGTGTTGATTCCTTTTGGATGTTGTAATCAGTTAAAGTGTGTTTATCTTCTAACTGCTTGCCGGCAAAAATGAGACGTTGTTGACCTGGTGGATTTCTTCCTTGTCGTGAATTTTCTTCTTCAGATCCAAAATAGAATCACTTGGCTCAACTTCTACAGTTATTATTTTTCCAGTCAGCGTCTTTACGAAAATTGGCATGATCCAAGAACGGAGTTTGAGAACCAAGTGCGGCGGTGTTGATTCCTGTTGCATGTTGTAGTCACTTAAAGTGTATTGATCTTCTAACTGCTTGCCGGCAAAAAAGAGACGTTGTTGATCTGGTGGAATTCCTTCCTTATCTTGAATTTTCACCTTTACATCCCAAGTAGTATCACTCGGTTCAACTTTTAAAGTTATTGTTTTTCCGGTCAGCGTTTTTACGAAAATTTGCATGCCAGAAACACGTCCATGAACCAAGTGCAGTACTGATTCTGTGGGGATGTTGTAGTCGCTCAAAGCTCGGCCATCTTCCAGTTTCCCGCCATTGAATACAAGAGTTTGTTCCTGTGAGGGAATTCCCAACTTGCCTTCAATTTTAGCTTTGATCATCTGGACATTAATACCTGGTTTAACTTCTAAATTTAGTGTTTTTCCAGCCAAAGGTTTCACAAAGATAAGCTTACTGCCAGGAAGACGCACGCGCGATCGGTTTGAGCTCCCAAAAGCATCACGGGTTCTTTGAGAGCTAACTTTCTGCTCCAAGGACACTCCAATTTTTTTGTCTACGCCTGTGTATATAACCTCTTTGTCTTCGTTTCCAAGTAGCTGCTTACCTCCAGTGTTTGCTGCCCAAGCTGGCTCCTGATAGGCCATTGTAGGCTTTGGTAACCTTTCATTTGATTCTGACAATTTAATTTCGTTTTGTTTTTGTGACTGCTTGATTTGATGCCTCGGAGACTCTCCGAGATCTGAGTTTCCCTCTGGTTTCATGTATTCTGGAAGAAAAGAAGATAAATATGACTTCTCTGAACTTTCTCAATGTGATCGAGTGTTCCTTTACGATGAAGAAAAATGTCCGCAATAGGGGTTTTTCATATTTTAGAGATGGTTTTCAGGAAAGGTTTGTCCTTATCATTACACGTTTGCACGTATAGGGGAGGGGAGGGGAGTCACGAGTGGAGTATATTCCACCCATTATGAGGTTATACTCGGATTTTCGCAAAATATAATCAACCCAGATCTAATTCTGTGCACAATTTGACCAGTCACTTCGTTCACACGGGACTGTTCAATATGAACTTTGAATAGCTAGGCGTCTAAATTTTCGTACGGTTTAGTAAGGTGACTCCGTAACACATCAAAACGCACGAATGAGAGCGATTTTCGAATGACCTTGAAAAATGGTTACGGTAAGTGTTCGTTATTTGTTTTATCAGCCAATGGATGATTTTCCCACCAAAGATAACCCTAATATGGAGAAGGCATTGTTCGATTGGCCAATCGTGTTGCAGTATGACGTCAAAGCGAAGTATCGATTGATTTCTAGTATGTTATCGGGCATGAATTTTCTTCACCCGAGCGTTTGCTTAACCAAGCAAAAGCCACGCGCGTTTGTGTCCATTTGATAAACCAATCAAATCGCTCTATTTCCTTTCTTTTGTTTTTCTGTTTTGTTCGCGCGTTTTCATTTCAAGGTCATGGGAAAATCGCTCTATCAACCGGTCAAAAATTTTTCAGTTAGTAAACATGGCCTGAGACTTGACAGTATACCAAGGGTCGTCATTTGTTAAGTTGTGTTACGTAGAAAGTATTCACCTTACCCTCAGATAAGTGACTTTTGGCAGCTAAGGAACTTTTTCTGTCCGTCGAGTGGTTCTTTTCCCCAGGTGGATCGTTTATGTCTTTTGCTTCCTGATGAACTACTGCCTCTAATATATCACGAGACATAGCTTTCATTTCCTTCTTTATAACTTGGGTTTCTTCACGAAGTACTGACTCGATAATATTTCTCAGATCTTTAGACTCCTTCTGAACTGCAGTCTGCAAGCATTCTCAGTTTCAGTCATGAAAAATTGTGCAGAATATGAATGCAGTTTTTAAGAGCCCATGAACTAACAATTCACAGTAAATCCTTACAACAAGCGATACTTATATTTAGTATTTACCAAATCAGTGAAAAGCAATTTTCGCGCGTTTTGATTGGCTCCTGTAACTCAGAATATCCTTGGCTATTCACTGTTTGGCGACCTGTGGCCCGTTTCTCGAAAGTCCCGCTGGATAACTTTTCGGGCCCTAAAAGCTGTTTTATGTTAAGTTTTGCTGTGTTTGCATTCAAGATCAAAGTTTCAATAATTTTGAAAACGATATAATGAAACTATCAGTTAGCGAACAAAATTGACCAGTTTGCTGAGCTTGGAACTGTGCTAATTTTCAATAGGTTTTGATTTTAGAATTTGCCTTCGGACCCGAAAAGTTACCGGGCCTTTCGAGAAACGGGTCCCTGAGCCAAGGTGGCGTCTCGTGTCGAGAAATTTTCGGAAGACGAAATTTGAGCGATAAATGAATCAGTCGTACAAACAAATACCAAAAAAGGGACGAACTTTGGCTTGTCAGTGTTTACTGATAGGTAGAAAATTACGTTCATGCTCAATTGCAATAAAATCGTAAAAATGCGCTTGACAAAATCTCCCCGAAATCTATGTAAATTGTAAAGAAACTTTCTATTAAGTGACGTTTTTAATTTACAAAAAGTTACTTTTCTCTCATTTGTATCCAAATGATTTGGTAAATACTAAAACAACTATCCCCCTCCGGGTCGGTGAACAGCGCTAGATATACATGTATACCGAGACGCGGGTATCTATCCACCACTATTCACCTTCCCCTCGGGGGAAAGTTGTATAATGTTTTTGACATTTTGGTGTGGGTTGTTGGGCCGGGAGTGGTGGGGGCTGAGGGTTAAAGTCGTGGGTCAAAAGCGTGTCTGGAAAATATGTTTGATTGGCAATATCTATCACTAGTATACAGTGGAAACCGTTAATACGGTCACCAATGGGCCAAAAAAATTTGGCCGTGTTAACAGGTGACCGTATTAACGGAGGTTTTTTTTTTACAAGAAAATGTATGGTCGTTTTCCCGGGCGGCCAAAAAACAAGGCTGTAATAACGCGGGGTCCCACTGAACCCTAGAACAGGATGAAAGTTCGCCGCATGGAAATCTTTTCGACACTCTTAGGTCTCAACGTAAAATTAAGATATTGTAACATATCAGCGTGATCAAAAAAAGGTTAAGTAAGGAAATTGGTGAATTGGTGACGAATTTACTTTGTATGGTGAAATAAATGAATGAATAAATAAGTGAGAAAGAAACGCTAAATCTCACCTCCAAATGATTAATCCGTTCACTGACTTCCACTATCGACTTCTTGACATCCATGTCACTTTTATACCATGCCTTTAGTTCTTGTAGATTTCTTTCATCTTCAACTGTAAGAGGATCTGTCAAATATTTGGCAATGGCTCCTTGCCAAGCAGTTTTCCGAGCGGGACTAATCTGTCCAGCAATCCTCACAAGAGCTTCACTGATTTCCTGCCAAAGTGTTGGAAACTCATCATCTGTAATTTCCATACCCTGGTTCACGTGACCATAGACTGAGTTTCGGTAATATTTTATTCTTGCTATATCAGCTGTTAATCTGTGATCTGTACTGGCCGGTAGTGCATCCCATCCTGTGACCGGAGGGGCAAGGTTACATATTGTCCTCAACAAACGGAAGAGCAAAGTGACATCAGAATCGGCCGACTTGCCATACACCCCTGGGGAGGGACAGAGACAGTGCCACTGGGGCCTGGTGAGTTTTGCACTTTTAAGCTGGTTCTTTGTTACGGGATTGCTAAGAATCTTAGGAAGATGACTTGGTGGATGTATGGAGTCAAAAATCTCCCTCAGTAGGCTTGTTCCTCCACTTATTAAAAGTCTTGTAATCCGTTGGAAATTTGTCTTTTCACTCGTCGAACAAAGTATTTCATCTGGGTCAGGGGCGGCTGCCATTGTTTATCTCATACTGGTGGATCGCGTTCTGTTACCTGATGGACATGCGTCCTCACTAGGAGATACGAAAACAAAGATAACTGAAATATTTGCTGAAATTATTACCTGGATCATTTTAAAATGACAGTCAAATTAGGGTGACTCGCGGTATTTCCTCGCGTGGGTAGCCCATCCCAAGAGCGCAGCCCACTTTAGCCAGAAATATCGAAAATGAACATCTCAAAGCATTTTACTCGCCCCATTTTTCGCGCGGTCTTTGACTCTCGTTTCTCGTTACTCGCACGGAAACACTTGTTACGCAAGTTAATTTTGACTATTTGCAGCGTGTTTGTGATAACTTCAAGCTGTAAGTCTCAAAACTGAGCATTATTCTGTCTATTATCACTCCTCCTTGTATATCCTGAGACTGACGTGACAAGTTTGTTTCCAAAACAAGGGCTTTGTCTGAAATTCAATCGCCTTTCGTAAACCAATCCAAAGGTCACTATAGCCTTTCGGCTTCCATATAAGAGTGACGGGGATGCTCTTCATTGTGCTTGGAAGGACGAATTGCAGATTTTAGCCGCCATTACCATGTTCTATGGTTGTATGCCCGGCTGCCGGGGAGGGTCAGTAGACTAAATCAGACTAAATGCCCTGGTTGGCGAATGACAAATGACACGCGATACGATGGAGGACGAACCCGTTGTTCGCGTTTAACGTCTACTTTGTTAAAAGGTTATTTTCTTGGAAAGCGCGTTTGTTCGCTAACCCAAAATTTCAAGATCAAGTCCCCGACAACTTTAACCATCAAGTTGATGATACTCGAGTCTGCTATCCAACTGACAACAGCATTGAAACGCTCGGTGAAATACAAATATGCGTGAAAAATAAGGACAATAAAAATATCAATAATGTAGCTTAATTGAATTAAACTGAATTGGCG